TATTATTAGTTTGATAACCATCGTCAATGGAGATAACGAAAAATAAAAATAATTGAACAAATTACAATACCAAATAATCAAAACAAGAGAAACCATTAAATTCCAATAAAAATTAAATCAATTTTGTAGCAAAATTGTAGCAATATTCAGCTTCTTGTTTTTTCATAAAGACTATACATACAGATATACAAAAAATTTACTATTCTCATTACAAAACCAATTCCAGACTGAAAATTAACAACAAAAAACCCGCAACAGTAATAATGGAAATAATAACATCATGATAATCAACTGATTTCCTCTATAAAACTTTTCTTGAAGATTAAATTAAAAATGGCTTAAAAATTGTAATTGAATAAAAAGATATTTACATTTTTAACCTTTCATCAATGTTTTTGAAGAATATTCAGTACAAAGTGAGGCTATTAAATGTCGATAATAATAATTTTAAAAAATAATAACCAAGAATGGATGAATGAAGTGAATTAAAAAATGAATTGAAAACAAAAAATACTTCATCATACTACATCTTGCATAACATCAGTATGATAAACAACAAAATCAAAATAAATAAATAAATTCAACCATGTTATTTTTTGGTATCTAATGTCAATTGGGTGAAGGAACATTGAGAATACCAGTAGTGTAATGATGTAGAATATGAAGGCAGGGTGGTCACGAAATGGTAAAGTTTATTATCCAGATATAGATATAGTATCTTTTGTGAGAGCTTATGTAAGATAAATGTTAGTATGCAAATATCAGCAGGAACACACGTAAATCTACAAATCAATAATATCTGCTACATACATACACACCAAATACATCCAGTCTAAGCAATATCAACGCCCTAAGTCCACATTTTTATCTCATATTTTATCAATATAAACATCAGCAGATTGTGTACTCGTTATTTCTGTTGAAAAAAATGGAATTAATTTAAAAAATATTGCCTACACTTAAGTCCGTGTAATATGATATATAAAACACTATAAAACATGAAAAAATAAAATTAAGCAATCTTCAAGATATTTTTGAAGTAAGAAAATTTATGTAAGAAAATTTTATAAAATTTTCGGTATGTAATCAACTTATTATTTGAAAGATGCTAAATAATAAATTATTTAATATATATATATATATATATATATATATTTATATAATAATTAATGTTCACTTGAACATTATGTTTTGAAATCCCTCAAGAAACAACTCTTTATCTTAAGCTGGTAGATCACATTATAATGACAATTACACAAATAAAAATTACTAAATTGCATTAAAATTTATGCATCACAAATAAACTTTTGAAGATTGACTGAACAATAAAAAAAAATTTCGTTGGCAACGTATTCAAGAAATCTATTGAGTCAAGAAGCCCATGCAACAAGATGAAATCCAGAATATAAAAATAGTTTTGTGGTTATAAGAAGGACTGATAAATAAAATGCAAGATGAACCATGACTAGTGACTACACCTCAGGATACAAAAAAACCAATTTAAGCAAGCCTTAATCATAAAATGAAAACCAAATATAAATTATATTATATTTGGATCATATTAAACAAAAATATTCAACTTCTTGTAAGATGGAATGGAGACCAACTCAATAAAAGCAGTAATATAGTTTCGAGCAATAAAAAAATTTGCAACTTAATTCAAAGAGCATGCAGTGGCTCATGAGATAGTAGGGAAATTTATAAGACCATCAACTCCTGGGGTCATGCACTACCGCCTGTAAACTAAAAGATAATAAAGGATGAAGGCAGACAGAACAGAGGGGAATGTAAATTAAAGACAGGCAGCTGTTTGCCTACATTATATATATATATATATTATATATATATTATATATATATATATATGTGTGTGTGTGTGTGTATGGTTATTCATATGCAATCATACACTCGCACACACCACACATACATACATATATACATATGTGGCTGTCTTTTTTACATGAATTACACACATACAAATGAAGGCATACGTGTATGTATGATTACATACCTATGCATATAGATGGTTATATTCCTCAGGCATAAAATTTGAGACAGCATAAATCAGAAACGTACATGTATACAAACAAACAAAATGCAGATAAGTTTGCAGATAGCCAAAGCAAAAACATTGTATACAAAATCATAAATATTACAAGAATTTGTAGAAAAAATTCAAATCAAATATTCGAAAATAAATTTGAAATAACCTTTATGGTTCAAGAGGCCATGAAACTGGTAGAGTAGCTTTTGTGCCTTAGTGATGCATCAGGCAACCATATGGAGCCATATTTTATTGATAGATTGAGTTGAGAGACTGGTCATTTTAAATTGAATAAGATCATGTTGGTTTATGAGCTTCGACAACAGCGAAACTTTATGAAAATGAACAGCTTTATGTGAAATTACTTGATGATCTATAATTTCACCAGTGATGATCAATATCAAATAACCCCTTGGTCCAACTGGAGCTTTTATGATCAAACAGATAAATATGGTTTCGCAGCTGAATTTTTATTAGTCTAAATGGTTTTAATGCAAAAATGTAGCTGAATGCAATCAAAAAGGCAGGACATAAAATATATTTATTTTAAAATTTTATTCACATAATTATGTAAGGCAAATTTGTATAACCATATATGACAATGTAAAATCATTATATATATATATATATATATATATATATATATATATATATATATATTATAAAAATTAAAATTACATTGAAAATTTTTAATTGAAAATTGTTCAGACTATCAGGTTTATGATACATAAATTGGAAAACAGGTTTGAAAAGTGATAAAATGCAAACTTGATGTAAACTTGCCGACAGTCACATTATAATAAAACATGTGAACAAGTATCGATTAGTAGTTAAGTAATAAAAAATTAACGAATGAATTCATCAATTCATTGTGAAGTTGAATATAAAAACAATTATCAACACAAACAATTATTAAATATATAAGTAAAAATCAACAGAAGCACACTTGCACACACCTCCACAACTTCACAATCACAACAACAAAGCATGTCAGTACATACCCAACATACATTAAACTCAAATAAAATAAATTACAACAAATATACAAAGAAAAGAAACATACAAAGACTTAAATACATTCAAGTATTTGTGCAGACATGCATGTATATGCACAAAATTTAAATTGAAGTTTGCCAGAATTCACATAATTACTTCCACCAAGCAAAAATTCACTCTGGCAGCAGCACAACTATGTGATAACAATAATGTACGTGCCTTAATGCTCAAACCATGTACAAACATGTCTATGCATGAATCTAAATAGGTTTAATACATGTTTCATCTAGGTCTCTACAATTGTTTAAAAGTTGTTCACATATCTGTTTGTTGTTTATGTATTTCAATACAGTTATCATTTGATTCACAATCCAAGTTTTGTCCCAAAAAGTCTTACGTTTGTGTATAGAATATGCATGTGCAGTGCATTCATTGGTTTGCAAAAACTCTTTAGATCAATTATATCACAAAACTTAAGTACCTGTGTGAACTTGATAATCATTTGAATATCTCAGTTACTTGCTGCAAAGCTACACTGCACATACACACTCGTACACAATGTGTAAGAATGTATACACTTGTATTGCATCTGTGCTGTTAATAACACTCTGATTTCAACAGCTATGAATGAACAGCTATGAATGATTTTCCCATTTTCAAATGGCATTTTTATATTTCACAAGTAAATAAGACACGCTTCAAAATTATGTTATATTTATTCATATCATTTTTTGATTCTATTCCACAATTTTGACTAAATAACTAAATTTAAAATTTTTTAAGATGAATATTTCAAATAAAAATAAAATAAATAAACAAAGACATGTAAAAATAAAAAAAAATCATCCCACACACACACACACACACACCCACACACACACACACACACACACACACACAAAAACACACATATATTCTACCGAATTGTTGGCATTAATCAATTTAAAGTTTGTCTTTTCAATTTTCCCTACTACAACTTTCTGGAAATTGTTCAATTTATTGAAAATAGAATTAAATAAAACTGTTGTTATCCAAATTCATCATGCAGATAGGCCTTATTATGATGACCCATGAATTGGATAACAACAGTTTTAT